ATCAATAACAAATCTTCCAACCCTAAAACAAGTCTTAACCGTGTTTAAGGTGTCCATAGTCATATTTTCAAAAAATTTGAAGACCATAATCTTATCATGAGCTTTGATTTGTTAACAGGTGGAATTAAGAGTCTTCATTCAAGCCATAAACAATGACATTGTTTTGACCTTAAGTCCACTCCAAGACTTCTGTAAAAATATATAGATGAAATCTTACCCTCTGCAGCAGTTTATCTAAATCCAAATATCCAAATTTATTGTAGTATATGATAATTCAGAAATATTTATATCCATGAATTAAATGAATATTGATGTCTTTGCTCACTTGCTCTCTTCACTCAACAATCATCGAGATGATCATTTAGTTCTGCTGAAGAGTTTTTGAGTGCTTGGCTAAGTTTGGAAGCGCTTTTATCAGTGTAAGACATTGCAGGACCGAAACAAGTATTACAATTTCAGTAAGTTGTGGATAAATAGTCACATCCAGATATATATCTGTCAATAAGGTGGATCAAAGTCAGAGCACAAGACAACACTGTTCAGTCTGAATGCCATCTTACATAATGATGTAGTATGTAGTTTTTCTTCTGTTGTTCAGAACATATTATTCAGGACACTCATAGCTCTACCCCATTTGTGTTTCTCCAAATCCAATTGTTTTATAACTCGCAGTAATGAGTTTGTCCCTTAAGGAAAATTTTTTCTTTTGCCCTACTCCAATTCAATGATTTCTTAACCTGCAATAATGATTTTGCCGCCCAAGGGAAAAAAAAGAAAAAAAGAAGGAAAAAAAAAGTTTGATTTTGAGAAGAAACTATTTTGTCAGCACCAGTTATGCATGCATGTAGAAATCTAGTGACACATTTCATTTAACACTCCGGTCGAAACCATCCATGTAAATCATTTTCTAGTAACAAAATTAAATTTTTTAATATTATTTTTAATAATACCTCTGAACAGTGAAAGAATTTCGACTAAAATATTAATTTGCTTGTATGATCAATAAATTAACACCAATATTAATAATATTCAATGCATGTAGACAAATACAGTTTTCAAAAATAGCTTCCAACCCATTGAGAGGTCTCTTAATATTTTTTTAGATAACCAACAACTTTGGAAAATTGAGAAGAAATAAATTTTGATAATTACCAAACATGAAGATGTTTCATTGTATTATTCTGCCTATTCTCCTGCTGCACATGCTTACTGACTTCTCATACTATCTGCATATCTGGATAAGACACACCAGACAGTTACAGTAAGGCTCTAAGGAAGAGGCCACCCACTTTCAAATATTGGCTATTCACATGTTGCATTATAGAACAGCAACTTTTAGGTTCTGGGTGTTTAAAGAGGTGTTGTACTGTGTATTTGTGTATACTGTACTGTATTAATGCAGTGAAGTGATGCTTTTTTAAAATATTTAATTTACTGCAGTTTTCTGTTAGGGATTTTTTTATTCTTAAGACGTGAGCGTGCGGCTTTCTGGAAAACCATTTTGTGTGGTTTTATTCAGCAGTGTATTTGCTGTTACAGGCCACTGGATTTATTTTTTGTGGTGGTGTTTTTTAATTATTATTATAATTATTTTTTTTCCCTTTGGACTGCTCCATTTGCCAAAATTGCTGAGTGGGCCACTCTGACCCTAGTTAGATACATTTTTGATGACAGATATGTTATCAAGTATTGAACCCACATTTTATTTCTGAGGAAATTTAATTCATATTATTTTGTAGAGAAATTATTGCCTTATGGTATCTATCCCAGACCAGATAGCTGTATGAAAATTACATTTTAATGTACCTATATTATTCAGACTTTCTAAAGAGGTTATTCTACTAAATATTGGGAGGAAGTTGCTGCTGTGGAAGTTATTCAGAATCAAATCAACTGGAAATTGAGGCGAAGTTAATGGAACAGGTGAGGTCATTATTGCTTAAACCACTGTTCCTTATGTTAATGTACTGTCCATAATTTAATAATATTATATCAGTTTCATCCAAGAGTTATTGGATTATGTTAATAATTTTTCTGTAGTATTGGGAAGGTATATGTTTAATATGCAGATTGGATTTGGGGATTCAATTTAAGCAACTACTACTTCAATATCAAGTTAAATTATGGGAAGGGGAAGAATTCCTCACATCTCATACTTCTGCCTAAGTGTCTTCCACTAGCCGTATTGAAGTTCTTTCTATTTTTGTTGTAACATTTAAAACCATTAATTTTGCATTCCTTGCGCTTGAAATTTGTTTCTTGTCTGAATAGGCATTCTTCAGGCATGGTTTACATAATAATTGTAATCTCCTCTGTGTGGTGTAAAATCCATGGACGTTCTGCTACAGAAATGACATAATTACATTAATTTAGGTAAATGTGACAGAACCTCCTAGAATCCTATCCATAAACAAACTTGTGGGTGATCTGGGCTGTCCGGGTGACGCCGCGTCGAAGGCTGAGTTGCCGACGTTTCGACCATCCTGTCGTGGTCTTCCTCAGGGCTGGTATGCGGAAGGCTGGTATGAGGAAGACCACGACAGGATGGTCGAAACGTCGGCAACTCAGCCTTCGACGCGGCGTCACCCGGACATCCCAGATCACCCACATGACTCTGGTCGCGGAAGCCTACGACTTCATAAACAAACTTGTTTCATCTTTATTGTTGATGTCAGTGGTGTAGTTCGTAAACGAACATTGCTGAATTATTGGTTTAAATGGAATTTTCTATAAAGCAAATATATTGCTTATGTCATTGAACATTTATTATCTCTAATCTCAGTAAATTCTAATAGGTTCAGTTAATTCATAAACAAGTTTAATTTTGTTTAATTCAAGAGGCCCTATCTTTATTATTATATTGTTTCTTTTTCTTTTTAGGTTGTCTGCTTGGATAAGTTTCATCAAATTTCTTTTTGTTGGAAGTTATATCTGTGACAATGAATGAAAAGGGAGAGACATTTTTTTGGAAGCTGCAAAGTCATTGTCAGTTATTTCTTTATGCAGTGTTTATTAATGATATTTGTAGAGTGGGCCTGATGTCAATAATTCTGCCTTGTTGGGAAGAATCTGTTACCTCCATATTGTTAGTGAGGGTTGTGTGACGTCATGGATACTCACAGCGACCACAGACACAGAGCTTTCGTATAACAATATATTTATTAACAAGAAAACAAAACAAATATATACACTTAATAATCTACTTAAACCCTAGCTCTGATAGACCTACTATCCCCTGATCGCGGGAGCGATCCAAAACCCGATTGAAGATGGTTTTGATTGTGGCATTCGCCACTCCTACTTTTGAAGCGCGCACAAAGCCTAGCTTCCGTGACCGGATGTCACGCTGGGACACAAAGTCCGTTCTGGCGCACCAACGGCTGGTTTGCCTCGATCGCAGGAGCGATCTTATCCGATTGAGAATCGGCGTGAATCGTGGCACTCAACCACTCTTCACCTCGGAGCACGCACACAGCATCGCTCCCCCGTGACCGCAGTCACCCAAGGACATAAAGTCCGCAGGCTTCGTCAACTAATGACTCCAGCCTCGCGAGCCTGGCTCGCATATGCACCGTCTTGGCGCCAAGTTTTGTGCACACGCACGAGGTTCTCCCACCGTCTCCAGAACCTGCCTACTGGCTCCGTACACTCTGTTATATAGGCGAGGCCCACGTGACCTCCTACGTCACGCCACCCCCTCGCTTGTTATAACAGTGAAAAGCTTCTATAAGCCGGAAGACACCCAAAGCCTTGTGTCTCCCGTCTCCGCGTTCTTCCCTCTACGGAAAAACCCTACTTCCTGTGGCTAGTCTAATCCTGCCAAGCGTCCCCAAATAGATGCCATGAGGCACGCTGGCTAATACGTTACAGTTGCTTTATTAAGTCATTGTTGTGCAATGTGGCTACTTTGTTCTCAGATTAAACATGTTGTCTTTGTTGATAAATAAATGCAGTATGAAGTATGATTGAAATATATTGCATAAAATACTTCACTGTCTAAGAGAGACCGCATCCTGGGCACAATTGCCAAAATGTTGGCTGTCATACTGTGATCTTCATTGGGGCGAAATGCGTGAGGAAGGTTGCAATATGTCAGCCAAAACTTTGTCAACTGTGCCTAGGACTGCAAAGTTTCAATTGACTCCAGCCATGGAAGCTGACCTTTCAAAATATATTGCAATGGTTTCAGGCAGCTTATCGTCTTCTGGTTCTGTATCTACTTGCCTCCTAGAACTCTTTATGTGGGAGAACCTGGCTTTGGTATGCTAGCATTGATGAAGGATTTCTTGGTAGTAGTTCTGATATTTCTCATACTTTCTTTTTCTTTTGAATTATTTCATTAAGTGTTATACATTAGAAATTATGACTCTTTTGTGTTTGCTAATGAGTGGTGAAACCCCCAATTCATAACTTTTAATATTTATCGTTGTCAGTAAATTCATCAGCATTTTTTGTCTGGAAAGAATATGCATATTCTGTTATTTCAAATACATTATTTCGTTGGATTCTACAGTAGTTGCAACTTTTTAGTTATGTAGCCCATAACAGTCAATCCTTGCTCTTTTATTAGGATGACATTGCTTTTAGATGAAAATACTTTTACTGATCTCGTACCTCCTGTGTATATTTTGGAGCATTTATCTGATGTGTGTTGATCTGGTTGGAGGTTAGGGTTCCCTGCACTCAGTAGAATCAATTTCTGCAAAAGAACTTGCTGATTTCTTGATGGAATGTTATGATATTCAGCTTTTGTTGTTAATAGTATAATAAATCGCTTCAATAAACACATGTTATACTTGTAAACCCTCAAACCTTGGAGAGCTGGGTTGACCTTGTCGTTTCTAGAATGACCTTGTTTCTAGAATGAGACTATTGCTTTCACTTGTTGCGTGGATTATTCTTTTTGCACTTGTTTTCTTTGTGACAGATCATTTGCTTTCTAAACAATAGTAGTGTTATTGTAGTACATATGTTATATGATGGTGTTCATCTTTTTGCAGGAGGAACTAAAGGCCCCGGCAAGTGTATATTTTGACCCTGGAGAACTGTCCAATGAGGAGGATGAACAGGAACATGAGGTAACAATAGCTCTTATCACAGTTTCTGTTGAGAATATGTAACTGCTGAGATAGCTTCTAGTTGTGATTTTTAAATGTGGAAGAATTACCACAAACAGAGCTGCGTCAAAACTAAGCACTGGTGGATAGGGAACTAACGCCTTGAGGCACATGAAAGATAATTCAAATTAAAAAGAACTTTGCAGATAGTGATTTAAGGACAGCAGCAAATGTACATGCAACTGTCAACACACTATCTTGCAGAACATGGGAACTGTGCGTTCTCAGTCTTGAAATACAGGGATATGTGCTCATAACAATGACACAGATTCTGTTTTAATTTTTGAAAACTACAAAAGTAAAAATTTATTAGACATCTTCCTCCTACTGCAATACTTACATTATTTTCTCATTGAAATCTGCTTTTCTAAATTAAATCTTTAAATAAGATTGTGTACAATTTTGTGTAAATGTGAGTAGTTTTCACAATCAGTGCAATTAAAAATGTTTTTTCTAAAATTGCTCCAATTTTTTTCTTAAATGGAAAAAAAACTTTATACATTTCAAAAGTCGAGCTTCTTAGACTATTAATATTGAAACTAGAATTTTGGTAAAGCAAACTTTTCTCTAAGTTGACAATAGTTTTTATTTTGCAGGACCCTCTGGCAATGTGTAATGAAAATGTTTGTGGAGAAAGCACACCTGATGGTGAGTTTCAGAACCAGATCTTCGTGTTACAAACTTTTTAAAATGCTTTTAATTACTTCATGTGCAATACAATTTATAGAAGCCTGATTGCATAAAACCCTAGGCATGGGCATGGAAAAGCTTCTTGCATGTGCATTAGTGTGGCTTTAAAAAAAATTAATGTTTATAATATCTTCTACAGAACTCCTAAAAAGTTGCTGGGAGGTTAAAAATGAAATTGTTATAGTTGTTATTATTATCATTAATAATAACAACTATATTACTAATTTCCAATGTGTGTAGAAATAAAGAAAACTCAGCAGCCTCTGGCCAGTGAGAGGTGATTTTAAATGATGTCGTAGACTTCCGCGGCCAGATTCATGATCTGGGCTGGCCGGGTGACGCCGCGTCGATGGCTGAGGTGCCGATGTGGCGTCACCTAGACAGCCCAGATCATGACTCTTGATTTTGTTAGATACCCAGGAACTTGGAGATATTAACATTTCTATTACTAGATGCACTTAAAATTTGAAAGAGAACTATGTAGCCTCATGTCATGTGATGGGTGTTAATGGTTTCGTAGATGTTCAGGAAGTTAGGAAAATTTTAAAAACCATTAAACCGTTTTGATTCAAAAATTGATTATGATATTCCCCTACTTTTATTCTGTGTGGAATGACTCAAGTATCATATTCAAAGCATCACTACTTGCAACATCTGGCATGTCTCAGCAAGCCACCAAAAGAGACGCCATCTGTTACTAAATATTAGCTATTCACGTGTTGCATTGTTAAATATTATTATTTGTCATTATCGGTATGTAAAAAATCGTTTGTACTCCATTTTACACTATGTTATTGTAGCTTTGCCTGAAGACTGTCTTTGTTAAAATATTTAATGTATTGCAATGAGAATATGTTATTTCTTGTTCTTGAACAATGTGCATGTTACATTTTGGAAGGTTAAAATTTTGTGTTATGTCGTTATATTCAGCAACTGTCTTGCTGTTGCAAGTCTCTAATTGTTGTTATTGATATAATAATAATAATAATAATAATAATAATAATAATAATTATTATTATTATTATTATTATAAGCGAATTTTGATGACTAAACCATTACCAAAAATTATCAATAAAAAGCTCTTGAAGTATTTTTAAAATCACCTAAAAACAAAGAAAAATGATGTAAAAAATTTTATCACTATCAATTCAGATGAAGAACTCTAGCTGTTGGATGTGTTGCTGATGTCATTGTGACTTCTTCGTATTGTTTAAGTGAACTCGGCTTGCAAACTTTTGGTTTGGACTTTTCTTTAAATGAAAAGCTATGCCTTTATCACGAAATCGACAAACTGACAATACCATTGATAGGCGTACAGGAACATTATATCACATAGTACTCGCTACAGCTGTCATTAAAATACATGAGCAAAGATATTGAAAGGCTACTCAGGAATTCTCTTGCTAACATTTGTTGCATCCTGTAAATATTGTTTGAAGCAAATACCATTAAAATGTTATTAAAATCTTATTAGACAAAATCGACAAAAAGTGCACAAAATTTTTTTTGATGATCTAAAACATTACCAAAAATGATTAAAAACATGCTGTTAAAATGTTTTGAAAATACCCTAAAGACTAAGTGAAATGACGTAAAAACATAAGAATTGTTTTTTTCATTTTGTCATAACATAAAATGAATGTGTATACTAAAAGGCAATGTTTTGAAGTGAAAAGGAAAAAAAAGAGATATTTCATTAAAATCCACTCCCTAATTGTTGTTGTTGTTGTTGTTGTTCTTCATCTTCATCTTCTTCATCATCCTCTTCTTCATCTTCATCATCTTCTAATTCACAACAAAAGATGTGTGTCAGTTGGATATAAAGTCTAAGCTTATTTGCAATTAGCTTCCTAATTAGCAACTCTAGAGACTGTCAGTGCCTCTGCATAACTTAGCACAAAACGTGGTCTGTTCCCAGAAAAACAATGTCCTGTGCTTCCCAATGTTTTGAATGACCCGGCAGTTTAGCCAAATTCTTTCACAAATTTTACAAATCAAATCCCAGAGCCTCAGTAACTATTGGGATGACCTGTATTTTAACAACCCACATTCGGCTAATCTTGATTTACGAACTCTTGTATTTAGGATGTTTCTCTGCTTTCTTGGTTACATTGTTTTGATCGCCAGGCACAGCAATATCTACAGGTAGACCCTTTTTCCTCCAAATCCTGGATAACATTATCCAGATTGTGTGCTATTGTTGTGTGATCAGTGAAATCCTCTAAAAACATAGAATAATTATGTAAAAATTTTATCAAACCCACTTCAGATGAACAATTCAAGCTGCTGGATATGTTACAGATGTAATCAAGGCTTCTTCCTTTCGTTCAAGGAAACTCAATGTGCAAACTTTTGGTTTGGACAGTTCTTTACCTGGAAATCTATTCCTAAAGTTATCCTGAAATCTGCCGAACTGACAATGGTGCTGATAGGCCACACAGGAACTTCAGATTACATACTCTAAATAACTGACATTATAATTTCTATGCGAAGAAATTGAAAAGGCTAGTCAAGAATTCTGTGGAGAACTTTTATTGCATCTCATAAATATTATTTGAAGCAAGTACCATTAAAATTACATTAAAATCAAAAACATCAGCTTCAAAAATGATGGAAAAAGTTTAAAACATAATTTATAGGACTACCCATTTCTTGTATTTCATCTTCCTCCTCACTATCTTGTAGGTCAATTAACAGTTCTGGACTTAAGTAAAAGTTTTTATTTCTTTATTCCAATAATCAAAAATAATTTTCGGTGTCACCACAATTCCAATTGTCAGGTGTCACCTAAAATATTTAATATTTATTACTGTTAATATAAAACAGTAACAATGTAACAAATAAGAAAACAAAAAATATTTTAGTCTTTACAATGCACTTAAAACAACTCACCTACCTGCAGGTACTACATAATTCGCATTATCAAATCTGACTTGTTTGATGCATTTTAGCCATATCTTCTTTTTGAAACTAATATAAAAAAATGGTTATTGCAATTTGCAACAAACTTTGCAGGATGGTTATCATGTAAGGTTGTAAATTTGTACAGTGAGTGTTCGTGGACTTGGCCACAGCTATTTACAAAATTTGCTCAAAATAAGAGTAACTAATTTACAGTAAACTATAATAAAAATGAACCACTAATTAAATTTAATAACTATTAATTAAATAATTCCAAATAAGTGTAGATTTTTCAGCATATTCAAATTAGAATTAATCATTGAAAGCTGATGCAAATACTACTATATAATAAACACACTAACCGTAGGAACAAAAAATAACCTTTATTTTCATCTCAGAAAGAAAAATCTGCGATTCTAATAGAATTTTTTCTCCTGAATTCAAATATATTGTTGTTTTTTTTCCATTGCCCAAGGTTTCTGAGAGTCAGGTATTTATAATTTCAAACATTTTAATACCTTCTGCATTCTTATCTACACAATATTCAAACATTCTGAACTGACCTAGAAAGTAAAAAATGACTATTTTGTGCTACATTTTGCCTGCGGAGTTTCCCTCTTAATGGTCCACTAAGAATTGGCAGCATAGTAAGATTTGATTGCCTTGATATATCTTTCCATAGCTAAATTCTGCTAATGAAAGTGTTCTCCATGCCAAGATTTTCTGGGAAGAAATCTAGATACATGAGCAGGAATTGTACTTTTAAGGACATATTATAATCAACATTTTTAAACTGTGCTTTAAGAGAGTTGTCAATTCTGTAGTAATTTTCCATATTTAGATTTCCTAAAAAACTGCAACATTTTTAAATGTTTGCTAAGCTGCTTTCTCAAGTGGATATAATAGTTCATTTGATTAATCATGCATTAATGATCATATTTATGGACCCACAAATATTTCTTCTTTAATATTTGCACCTCTAATTTGAGGAAACTTGTATTTTAAGTACATTAAACTTGTAGTATTGTACATAGCTTTAACAAAATTCTTCATTAATCCTAATTTTATGTGTAAAGAAGATAGTTACTCATTCCTTGGATTATATACAGTGTCATTTTTCACATTTTCTGGCCAGGAATGAGTGATTCAGATGTAGGCCATTTTTTTTAATATAATGATTTTTTCTGTCCCTACTGCCTTATTCACACACACACACACACACACAAAAAAAACAAGTTGTTGTGTTACCAAGTTGCAAACCAAACCCACGAATATTCCATCCATATACTGAATATTGAAACTTTTCCAATATAAATTTAAAGTTATTGTATGTTACTTTAATACTAGTAGAGTGCACAACAGGTACTGGCAGGAATTTATTGCCATTATGCAGAAGTATGGCTTTTAAACCAACTTTAGAGTAATAAACAAACAATTGCCATTCTGTTGGGAATGTTCATTTCCAAGTGTCTCCTTACAAAATATTATGCCATTCTTCAGAAAAAAGTCTTTAAATTTAAAATGACGATTACAATAAGTACATACCTTTGTTTTCTTTTCAAGAAAATTCAAGTCTCTTAGCTGGGAACCAAGCACTTCATATTACTTTAAATTTTGTATGAGATCTTTGAGATCTCCCAGAGTCAATAAATGAGGCTCAAATGAACAGCTTTGTTCAAAATTTGTATCACCAGAAGAATTTCTTTTTCTTCCATACTTCATCAGGATCTGAACTCTCTACATCTAATGTCACATGGTATGGAGGCTTTGGTATGAGCAATTCTTCACAGTGTGGATCAGGTCTCATCACAGATTAGACATATGTTTTGATTTTGACGTAATTCATTTAATGTTTGTCAAGCAGAAATAACAGTCAGAGGAGTGATCTTCAGGTTCCTTCCAAATCGTAGGGATAGCAAATGGCATGTGGTGGGTGCCACTTTTCCATGCAGTGAGAAGCCTAGAGTACAATAAACAACAGATGTGTGTGTGTGTGTAGGGGGGGGGGGCAGGACCTTGTTTGGTCCCCCACTTAACACCCAAAATAAAGTTCGTAA